TATAAAAAACCCCAACACCCCCCCCCCCCCCCCGCCCCAAAACATGACAGCACAATGCAGCCACAGTATTGCAAAAAAAACTTCAATTTCTGGAAAATGGAACAGCACACTACTTTTTGTGCACTGCCAAATAAACAATATAATTATAAGTATAATAATTAAAATGAGCGAGCAAGAATGTTACTAGGGTATTAATCCAGGGTAATACTGAATTCATATAGTTTCTCACTGCGGTGAAATACAGTATACAACCATGATAATAATGCTGGATCATTCTCTCAAGTATTTTTCTGATTTCCTAGAGGTTTTGTTACATATTGATCTGCATTTTTTAAATATCTTGTTCTTTTCCTACTGTTTTTTCTTTATTAAAACCCCACTATTTTAGAAAAAAACATGGATTCTTCAATAAAGGTGGCAAGAGCACTATCTAGGTGGCTTATTCTGAAACTTTGGGTGAACTAATGGGATAATATAGTAGCAATAACTATTTCTGATTATTTTTGTTACACAGTTATGACATCTTACCAATTTATTTTGTCTGTTGCTCTTTATATGGGAAGCTGAGGAAGGCCGAGTTTTGGAGATCTGGGCAGGCATCAGACATCATCAAATCCGAGCAAGTTCCCCTACCAATTTATTTGAGTTAATTGAAGAGATTGAAAGGAAGCCAGTCAAAACCCCTTTGTACGTAACTTGTTGATAAATCTATTTAATTAAATGTTTTTCCATTAATAATATGTATGTATATATCTCCAAATAATAATATCCAAACTAAATTGTTTGCTGAGTGTATACTCACTGGTGTAAAGGCCCATCCTTTGTGTTACTGCATCCTTTCCTTTCCTATTCAGATAAGATTCTTGAATTTTCCTTCTGTAGTCACTTTTTATGAGTTTCTCTTTTTGCTTATGAGACAATGTAAATGCCCTTCCTGAGGGAGGCAGGGGCTCTTAAGTCCCATGATTGGTACAACTTTGAAATGACTTACCTAGGGCACTGGGAACCCAACAAAATTAGTGGAAAAAAATCACATTCACTTCAATGAGCTCTGGATCTCTGGGAGATAAGGTTAACACTATTTACATAAAAGCTGACAACGTCACCTCTTATATTACAGTAGTTCTCATTAACCTTGACAGTAGACATCTAGCAGTCTTGTTTGTAGTCTCTTTCTTTTTCTTTTGTATCTGAATTATATTGCCAGTATTTCTTGAGTAGGATTTGGGAAAAAAACTGTTTTTAGCTATGAAATACTATACACATTACTCTTTAGCTAGATAAAAAGAATAATATTTTTAAAAGTGAAATTGCTGGTATTTGGCACCAGATTTTTAAAGGCCCATAAGTGACTTAAGAGCCATATCTCTGTTTTCAAAAAATAATTAGGTACTTAGAAACTGGAAGTTTTTTCTACATGGGAAGGTTATACTGATAGAAATACAGCATAAAGTAAAAGTGTCCTTTTGGGGAGTTTTATCTCTTTAATTGTATTGGCATAACCTTATCATTTCCCTGTGTCGATAAACCATTAGTCCCACAGAAAGTCACTTTCAAAAGCTTTACTTATTTTGACAAGTTTTGTTTCATCTGAGCTGATAGTCTTGATTTTGTAGTTTTTTGTCATAAACAGATTTAAAATATATTTTACTGTCCTGTCCTATCAAAATCAGAAATTATGGTCATCACTTAGACATTTGTGTTCTTCAATTTATATGTGCAGGTCTTGTATTTTTTTTAAAGTAGTAAAACTGACAGTGGTTTTTAAATGTTTCTTTCAAAACATAGTTTGCAGTCCTCCTTTGACTTTTTTTGAGAAATAGTCAATTATAGTAGCTCAAAGAAGGCTGTCCATAAGTATGAAATATAACTGCTAATTCATTTCTGAAACAGGAGCTTAGAGTTAGGCCAATAGATCCTGATTTAGAATCCTCATTAAGTGAGCTTATTTTTCCAAAGTGCTGATAGATCAGCAGCTTCTGAAATGAGTGGAAGCTTCTTGAGTCTCAACCTAAGTATGGATTTCAAGGTTGAGATTTGCAAAGGTGTCTGAGGGAGGCTGACATTTAACCAGCTGAAATTTAATGGAGGGAGATCAAAATTAACTTCCTTGAAAATCTCGCTCAACGTTTGGTTACCCTGTGTGTTTTATTTAAGATGGCAATCTACCATATGAAATGGAACCTACAGTAAAAATTCTGTTTCAAGCTGCTAAACTAATCATTCCCTGATGACCAGGGATCATTGTTTTCTCTGATAAAAAAAAAATCCCCAATTTTTGGATTAAAAAAAGAAACCCAAATTCCATGTATTTCCATGATTAAAATGAAACGCCACTAATATATTTTTTAAATCAGAGAAAACCAGATCCCTGCTGAAGACTATTAATGCAGATTATCGTTGTGAGCTTGTGCAACAGATCTATTTTTCTTATGTTTGCACAAGGTGTAGGCTGTGCAATTTATTGAAAAAAATCCAATAAGCTCCAGTAGGTTATTGGAGATAAATATATCGGTACTATATGTTATGTTGCATAAATATATAAATGCAGCTCTAACTTTCAGACAGTGGGTATTTTGAGGCTGTCATGGTGAGTTCCATATTATATCTGGATTATTTTCTTAAAACGTTAAAACCTATCTTCACAAACAAAATAAAATATCAACTACATTTTCTTTCACAGTGGATTTGAATGTATTAGCTACCCTTTGATGGATGCCACATCTGAAAGCCAGAAACTGAAAGCTGCTTTCCCTATAGTTAGCAAATCTGGATTTGCACTGGCTGATTTATCAATTCCTAAGAGAGTTATAGAGCCAGAATCAGGATCAGACACCATGCATGGAGCTGGAGATGCCCCCAGCAATCAGGATGGTGAGTACAGATAATGGATTAGTCAACTGCTTACCTAGTTAACTGAGAAACAAAAGAGATCTTTACAATATAACAACTCGAGAAAATAGGAGACTGCTTTTGTAATGCAAATGGGTGGCTCTCAAAGCATTTTTAACAGTAGAAGTGATTTCAACTGACTCTCATAATAAATGGAATAAATTTCATAAAAATATTTAATGTCTGTTTTATAAAAAAAAATAACCGCCCGCCTAGGCTTTCTCTTCAGTTATTTCAATCAGTCAAAACACACTGGTTCACAGTGAATTAAATCAGGAGAGCTCAAGCAATTATGTATACAGTCTACATTCATTTACTGTAGTTGAATAAGATATAGGCCTAAACCAAGGGTGTCAGACATACAACCAATGGGCCAAATTTGGCTTGCAGAACTGTTGCATCCAGCTCACCAGTAGTCTGGTGATTACTGAAAGCACACCCTGAGTTCTGCGCTGCCACATGTGTCTGGCACTCCCGAATGACCAGAGCTCAGCACTTCCAGACGGTAGCATGGAGTCAAGGACACATGACAATATGGAGCTGCTTTAGGCAGCATGGAACCGGCAGCATTTTTTGGTTTAGAGCCAAGAGCATGCATCAGCACAGAGCTCTGGTCAGGCAGTGACAGCAGTGGGGGGTAGAGCTCTGTGCTGCTGCATGCCCCTGGCTTCGCACCAACACATGCCGCTGAATCCACAGCGGATTCATATGACCAGTCCTAAGCCACCAGTCAAGTCCCACCTCACAGCTATGAGCGCTAGAAAATTCCCTTTTATCCCCTGTGATTTTTCACCCAATTCTAGGCTTTTAAGAAAAAATGCCCAACAATTTGTTTGATTTGATTAAGAGACTTTTGTTAGACTTGGTAAAAGTTGTCACATTGTTTGTCTGAAGAACTGATAGTTTCACTTATCACCTTGGATTGGGGTGGTAATGAAATGTGTGCTATGTCACATAAAAAGCATCACAAACTAGTCACTGCTTTACCCTTTCCCGTGAATGCAGGCAATGTAATCAATTAGGGGGAAAAAGTCTTTCTCCTGATACAGTACACTCTGCCACAAGAGGGGCATTTCAAGGAGAGCCATTTCAGTAGTATTTGGGAATGATAAAAGGTAGAAAAAAGCTTATCTATAAATATTGGGTTAATAAAACTACATTTTAAAAGTAAGTAATTGGAGTTACAGAACAATAACTGCACAACAGGTTCTGCTGAAAACATCAGGTATTCAAGTTTCTGTCTTGTGTTCTAAGGCACAAACTCTTCCTGCACCTATCAACCCATTAATTGGAGTTGCCTGTTCATCCTATGTATATACAGTTCACTACCGAAATTGTTGTTTCATTTTCCTGCAGGACAGAGTAACAATTGAACTAACACTTTCTACATACACATACACATTAGGGTTGTGCAAAGCTTTGGTAGCCGATTTAATTCGAAGGAGATTCGGCCCGATTTGGGGACTGAATCTCTAAATCCGAATCAAATCAGGAGACCAGTTAAAAACTCTGAATTGATTTGAACCGTCCAAATCAATTCAGAAAAGCTTCGGAAAAGATTCAGCTGCTTCGGAGATTCATCCATAGATTTAACA